AACTCATAAAAATGAATGAGGAGGTGTCATAGCTTCCAAAAGGGGTTGACTAACCCTCCTCACACTTTTGTCAAATAATCAGCATATACCACACGTGGAGCAATGAAACTTTTGCCAATAAAAAAATGATGATGATTCACCTTACTCCATTTATACCAATGCAACAAAGACGTATGAAACTATCATGAATTTACCTTTAGTTCATAAAAACAGGTTATTTTCAATGGACGATGTAAAGACTTACATATAGTTGGTGCTAAATAAATATTTGTTGAATGAATGAATGCACAAAAGATGAATATGTGATGCCCCACATGTGTACATAAATACACCCATTGAATTTTTTAAAATAAAAATTATATTTCAACTGGTTAAAAAAAGTTGTATTTGTAGCTCTGTTTGAAATGTGAAATTGCAGTCTTAAATGATTTTTAAAAAGTCCCATGGTATTTGCAAATAAACAAAACATTTCAAAATGGACATATTTTTCTCAGCAGAAACTGCATGTATGTATAACTTTAGGAAGTGGGTTCCAAGCTGATAACTCAAGTGAACATATTCTGACCTGCCAAGTTCATAGTGCCCCGTGTTTATCGTGTTTTTAATAAGGATTCCAAAATGCGAGGAGAATGTGATTAAACATGATTTTATTATTGTGTCTTTGTGAAAGATGACTCATCTGAAGTTGAGTAACTTGTTCTGAGTAGAATAATGACTCACTGAGTGAAGCCTGAAATACCATCTAGTTTCTATCTGTTAGCCTGTACTACCTCTCTGTGGACTGTTATATTTTTTATTTAGCATGGTTTATCCAAAAGTCTGCTTCTAAGATCTGTTTCCATGATTTTGAAGAAAAATTGCATTTCTTTAAGAATATATGCATAGTGAAACAATGACAGTGACATTTTTTAGCAACTAAAATTCACAGTCAGTTTAATTTGAACTGAAGAACAGAGGAGTAAATAAAACCACTAGAAGTTGTCAGAGCTGGACTCAAACCCAGGCAGTCAGCCTTTGATCTGTGTTTTTAACTATTATGCTCATGGTTTGCTGTTACAAACCAACTCTCCAGGGGAATATATAAATAGAGCCCAAGTTCCATAGTGTAAATATTCCCATCATGGCCAATTTGAAGCTACCAACTGTTTAATGGCTAACTTGAAAAATTCCTGAAAAATTCCTGAGTTTTTGTCAACCAGCATATAAGGGCAGGTGCAAGCAAGCCCATCCTAGTACATCATTTATCCTATTTGGCTCCTTTGTGCTTCCAACTCAGCATTGTCATGAAGACAGACAATTAAATTATTTAAAAATCAACTTTATTGAGGTATGATTTACATACAATAAAATCTACTCATTTTAAGCATACAATTTGAAGTTTTTTGACAAATGGGTATACCCATGTAACTGTCACCATATTGAGATGTAGAATATTTTCATCAGTTCTACAGGTTCCCTTGCAACCCTTCTCAGTTAATGCCCACTCCTCCACCCTTTTCAGCCCAGGCAATCGCTGATCTGATTTCTGTCATTTTAGATTGGATTTGTTTTCCCTAGAGTTTCATACAAATGGGATCGTACAGCATATATTCTTTTGATCCTGGCTTCTTTTCATGAAATTCATCCATGTTTTTGTGTCAGTAGCTCCATTCTTTTTTTATTGGTAGGTCGTAATGTATGAATGTACCTTAATTTATTTATTCACCAGATGATTATTTTTCAGTTGTGAATTCTGATCGTCATAATTTTTTTTTTATAAATATGTTGCTGAATGTTGCAACTCTAGCTTTTATTAAAAAGGCTGTAGTGATAAAGAGGATACATTTAATTAAGACACTAATGTTTTTTAGTTTGATTTTATGATACTGATATTAAACAATGATATTTAGATGTTAAATCCAAGTTCTAAGATTTAAGAAACACTTATTACCCCATAAAAAGCCATATACTCAGCTATGTTTATACAGTTTTCATTTGATGTTTGTGTATATTTTTAAAAGCTTGAGTAGTGCAGATTGGCTCTCTGGTTCTCTAAACTGTAAATAATTACTAGCTTTCTTCTTTATGCCTTATAGAACTTGCCTCCTTACTGGTGGACTTTCTGGGAACTAATACCACTTAGTTAAATAAGAAGTTTTAACTTTTTATGTTTATGCTTTTAAAAAGGTTTACTTTTTTCTATCTTCCTTTCTTTCTCTCTTTCTTTAAAAAAACCTCAAAGCTTTCTAGTATCAAAAGTATCTCAAGTGGCTTGAAAAGCAGGGTTAGTTTTTAAAGAAGTTTATTTCCTGAGATTCCACTAGGTGGCACTCTAACAAAGCCTAAAGAAGTGCCTGTTTTGGCAATCTACGGTTGTCTTCTAGATGGTTCCCTTCCTACTGTGAACTACTTGTAAACCCATTTGTTCTGGATAACTAAAATTAATTTTACCCTTAATTATCAAAGTTGTACACCCATTCGTTAAGTCTTAAAAAAATGTACAATAAACAAATAAAATATTGTTCAAACTCCTTGCTGATCCCCAAGAGATAACCACTATAACAGTTTAGTATAAACAGTATTTTCCAGACTTTTTAAAAAAGCTTATATATACAACAAATGCATATAAAAGTAAAATTTAAATTAGTAAAATTTTAGATTTTAAAATAATCATAAATGGTATGCTGTCTTTTGTTATCTGATCCTGTACTTGGGTTTTTTCTTATGAGTAAGACAGACTTCTCATGTCTGCAATTCATTAATGGCTAAGTCCAAAAGGGTCTTTCATGCATTTGCTGAATTATGGCTTGTGGTCTAGTGAATGAGAGCTGGAATCTCATGATAGGGATGCTGTGCTAATTGTCTTTCTTGGCGGTGAGAGTAGGGCAAAGTACATTTAATAAAAACTATAATGCTTCTTTTGCCAACTGAAGATTATAGAACATTTTCCCTGAGATATTATCAGGAGAAAATTGTGATTTTAGATAGGAAATTTTGTGAAATCACAGATTTTTTTCAGGTATGTCCACCCTCCCCTCACCCCCCCGCTCGCCCATAGTGTAACATTATGGGCAGCCGATTGCCCCCAGAGTGAGCAATCTAAGAAATCAAGCCAGAACTGAAATGCTTTTGTGACCTAATGTCGAAGGTTACATACTGTCACTTGTTCAATAGGCCTTCTCTGTTCATTATGGGAGGGGACTCTACCCAGGGACATGTATGCTAAGAGATAAGGATCATTGGGGCCATCTTAGAGCTACCACAAAAGTAATCAATGCATAGATAGTCTTTCTTTCTTTCTTTCTCCTTCCTTCCTTCCTTCCTTCCTTCCTTCCTTCCTTCCTCCTCTTTCTCTTTCTCTTTCTCTCCTCTTCCTCTTCTCTTCTTTCCTTCCTTCCTCTTTCTCTCTTTCTCTCTCTCTCTCTCTCTCTTTCTTTCTTTCTTTTCTTTTGGTGTAATCCACCTACAACATTATATTAGTTTCAGGTATACAACATAATGATATGATATTTATATATATTGTGAAATGGTCACCACAATAAGTCTTGCTAACATCATCCATAGATGGTTATTTAAGGCCATGGGATTAGATGAGATTAGGGGAAGAGTGTAGAGAGGAAAAACAAGAGGATTGAGCTTCCAGCGAGATGATGTCTCCGGGGGCTCAGTGGAGAAATATTTCCAAAAGAAGGGAATGCTGAGAAATTAAAATGATAGCTGAGAAATGACCACTGGATTTATACTTGTGCAAAACCTTTTTCTCCTTTTAATCCCACACAATTCATAATGTAGTTGTAAGGAAAACAGATGTTATTTAAAACAGTAACTTATTTGCAGCCACTTCTGAGTACCAAAAAAGCAACATTATTATCACTTGGGGACTGTGGACCTTGTACAGGAAAAGACCTTGATGATCTCTTTGAGTCTGAAAGGTAAGGGTCTCCTAGGATATGCTCTGGAAGGCGAGGGCTAGACAGTGAGTTGAATTGCTATGTGTAATCAAGTGAGATGATTGGAGCATCCGAAGCCACTAGCAAATATTGAAAGAAACTGTGACTTCAGAAAGCTGCATACTGAAGCAAGCCATCTTAAAATGGCATAATAACTCTCCATGCGCTTTTGCACTCAGTGCTGGAACTTCTCCAGGTTTGCCATGAATCCTCCCTCTGCCTTCTTTTCCCTTTGACACTCCTTACTCATCAGCTCCCCTGGTTTCTCTCTACTAGTTTGGTCCCATACAGTAAATAATAACAGGACACAAATAGTGAGTACTTGCTAGGTACCAGAGACTGTTCCTAGTGTTTTATGTATGTTACCTCATTTCCTCTTCACAAAACCTACCCCACTTTAAGGATCAGGAAACCAAGGCACACAGAGGTTAGGTTACTTGCTATTATGTAGCAGAGCCAGAATCTGAACCCAGTCTGGCTTCAGAACCCAGGCTCTTGAATCATTAAATCCTGCTCTTGTTTTCCTTTTACAGTTTTGAATCTGGCAACCCAGATGAAACCACCATATGTTTATGCTTAGACTTTGGCCACCTTCTGCCCCAGCCCAGAACATGGCATCTTTTATTGATTTATGGGTTTTAACCACCCCCATCCTAGGAAAAATGACACCAAAGCAATATTTGTTCATACCTCTGTGTCCTTTCACATGTGGTTCTTCTGCTCTCATTCTCTTTTCTCTACCTGGTTGATTTCTGGACGAAGCATTTAGTTGCCCCCTGACATATTGTTCGCTTCTTCCTCCATGAGTCCTTTGAACTTCGATTTGCCCTACCTCACTGTATCACCATTCCCAGAAGAGTCTCCAGTCTGGCATACTGTAGGGGTTCAATAAGTGTTTATTGACTGAGTGGAAGAAGGTCCAGAAAATTAACAGGACAATTGATATGCCCTGTAGTGCACGATATCATTTTGCTGAAACCTTGATGGGCTGATGTAAAAAGGATCTTCTTAACTTAATCTCCAGCCTTGACCTTTAATCGCAGTAGTTTATGTACATTTTTATTTACTTCCTTCATAAACCTCTCTCTATGCTCTTGACATTATTATTGGAATCAAGAAGGCACAGATTTCATGTTATTATCATTCATCTTTTAAAATTGACTTTATTAAAACAATACTACTTGATCAAAGTCCTGTGATTAAAAGCATGTTCCAGGTCAATAGAAGAAAGTTTATTGAAAGTCTCCTTTAAGTTTGAAACGATATAAGGCAATTTTTGTTTGTTATAAAGACCAACATGGCCACAATGACTTAGAATTGAAGGGCAAAGAGGACTCAAAGTGAATAGGAATCCAAAGAAAATGAAACAGACAAAAATAGAGATCGAACTAATAAGCATCTTACTCTGAAAGGAATAATTTCTACTTGTAAATTTCTTGTTCCTAAGGAACCAATCATGGGGCAGATCTTGTGAAATTTTATATTAGTTGTTCAAGTTCCTGAACTTGGGTTGAGACCACTTCATCATTCACCACTTTCTGGATAATTGCCTTGATTTTTCGGCTTTTGGTAGGGTCTAAAGATAAAGATGGAATGAAGGGGGCAAAATTAGTTTCAAATATTCATCAAAATTGGTTGTTTAACTTAACCTTCTAAATGAGGTATTGAGTGATACAATACATCAAATTTAAACTTTCAAAAGTGACTTTTGCATTCTTAAAAAATATGTTTTATTCAATGAAATTGAAATGTATTCAGCGTTGTCTTATGCACAAATGAAAATAATTCTCTCTTTAAGCATTTAAAAAGTAGTTATGATGCTCATAATACCTCTTTGTAGGGTAGATTTTTCCCTCCCTGGACTTGCCAAAAGTTGTAATAAAGTACAGACTACTCATCTTTCTCCATAAATATTTTTTCTTGGCTTGGAATATAAATATACTTTAAGTTATTAATAATACTGTAGTAATGAGATCTTACAGCTTTAGTCATTAATAAATCTTTATTTATTCTAAGTAATTTTTAGGGAATCTTTAGCATACCTTTAGAGGAATCAATGGACTGTGGTTGAGATTTGGAGTCTGTTTCAGATGAACTTTCATCCAAACCATCACTGTAAAGAAAACAAGAGAGATGATATCACACCATGCTTTCTGGAATGACAAGAAATAAGGAGTTTGCTATTTGAGCTAAAAATTATAAATGTACATAAAACCAGGGCCAAACAGAGAAGGTATTCCAAATTTCTTGATCAAGAATGATTGATGTATCCTGAGAGTCATCGATTGGTGCAGCGCACCTTGATTTTCAAGCCCTGCCTAAAACAGGATGTCAAAGTGAAGCAACTCGGCAACTAATGGAGGACCTGGTTTCAGAAGTTAGATTTCCCGATTTATGGTCCTGAGTTCTGCCCACTAGTCCAGGCTGCTGTTACTTTTAGAAAATCCGCTACAGTAGATCTGAGGAGGCTATTATTTCAAGTGTCATTCTTAGCATTGGGACACTGATATCAGAACTTGAATGGGTGATTTTTCTAGTAATTGTTTGCAGTATGCCTCTGTGGTGGCATCATTGTTCATCCCAGCATTTTATGAATTATTATCAGGTAAGTTAATGGGTGACACCACTTTGTGAAGTGTAGAGCACTTAATAAATCCAAGCCATGTCTTTACTAGATTTGTTATTTTTTTGTCAACCGAAGAACCCTTTCTTCTTCTATTGCCCCCAAAACTACATCAGGTGTTCCTGTGGGTCAGCCACTCAGGTTTTTTCAACCGGAGTTCTCTATTCACCCTTGGGCCTCGCCGTCCAGCAGGCGGCGGTAGGTCTCGATCTCCAGCTCCAGGCGGGCCTTGACGTTCAGCAGCCGCTGGTGGTCTGCGTTCTGGCGCTCAGTGTCCGCGCGCACCTGGAGCAGTTGCTCCTCCAGGCTGCCGATGAGCTGCTGCACCTGGGACAACTGGCCGCAGTATTCGCCTTCGGTTTGGGCCAACGAGTCCTCCAAGGATTTCTTCTGCACGTGGGAGGGAAATGGCACAGACATAACAATGGAGGGGGCTGAAATGAGGAAGGCAGTTAATATCCTAACATTTTGGATGCAGGATTTTCTTTGGAAGTCGAAATGACGCTGCCGTCTTTTTGCGTGGGCCCTACCATGGCGAGCTGGGACTGGAGCTCGATCTCCAGGTTTTGAAAGACGCGCCTCAGGTCCGTGACCTCGCTCTTGCTGGACTGAAGCTGCTCGGTGTTGGTGCTGATCTCCTTCCTGAGCTCCCCGCTCTGCCACGGAAAAGGGCGAGGGGGTGTGAGTGAGCGCTGCTCTCATAGGTCTTTTCTGCGAATGTATCAAACAAAGCCTTTTGTTTTTGTTAGCGGTACCTTTTCAATAAACCAGGCTTCCGCATCCTTACGGTTCTGCTCAGCAATGGCTTCGTACTGCGCCCTCATGTCGTTGAGGAGCCTGGTGAGGTCCACCCCGGGAGCAGCATCCATTTCTACAGTGACCTGGCCTGGGCCGTCAGTCCGGAAGCTTTGGAGGTCCTGGGGACAGCAAGTGAGAGAGGAGCGCGGGGGCCCATTATGACTTTTGTGGATCTCTTTTTCTACAAAAAATATTAAACATTATATTTTACAACTGCATTGGTATAAGAGAAACATTTTAATACAATATATTAAAACAGTTTTAACCTAAAAATTCATAGTTTTCTTTTGATTTTAAAAGAACTTGAGACATTTTCCCGGACCCCTATATTTACCACGGGCCTAGATGCTGTGCCTATCGTGCCTAATGGATGAGTTGGCCCTACTTCTTGGGGGTGAAGGCCTGGTGGAAAGAGTACGCTGGGGGTTTCAGCTACAGCTGCCATGCCAAGGGTTGCAGACATTACGTAGGCTTGCACACTGTTTGTATCACAGTCGTTGATTTCTAGTAGAAAGCTCTTTAGAAGCCTCTGTCGAGTATCATGATTGATGTCCATTCTATACACCAGCCTCCAATAGACACCGTTATAGGCATATCAGAGTTCCATGTGTGTATCATGCTGAGTAGAGCCAATTTCTCTAACATATATATGTAATATATATGTATATATATATATTGTTATTGGTAGACTTTTGTTTTTTAACTTTAAAAATACTGTATTTTTTAAAAATCACTAACTCAGGATAGTTAAAATTCTGATAGTTCTTTCCTAATGACGAAATAGCAAGATTGGAAAATGCTTTTAGTCTGTTAAAATTTCATAGAACTACCACCAATACCACCAGAAGCAGCAGCCCTCACCCCACATACACACAGAAATTCAAAATAGCCATTTTAGCAATGAGATAGCGTATCCTTCATATGTATTCTAACTCCAAATTCATAAATTCGAAACTAATTTTGGGGTATGGGAAAAAAAAAAGCAGCTTAGCAAGCTGCCCTTTCTGGCTGACCTCTTCGTGGTTCTTCCTCAGGTAGGCCAGCTCTTCCGTCAGGCTCTCGATCTGCATCTCCAGGTCGCCTCTGGCCAGGGTCAGCTCGTCCAGCACCCTGCGCAGGCCGTTGATGTCGGCCTCCACGCTCTGGCGCAGGGCCAGCTCGTTCTCATACCTGAAAACCAAGCACAAAACAGTTTAGGTAATCAACACATCCATTTGAATAAGGCCCCTGCCATCTTCAGGGCTATTTTGAGCATTAATCTGTATGACTATTTAAAAATGGCAGCTTTGCAATGTATGATGCTGTTTTTCCTTTTATAACTTTTTCTTTTCTTTTTTCATGATAGTTTACTGCTCAGTTGGAGAGAAGTGAAAAATTATGAGGTTGATACTTTTCTACCGGCAACAAACTCCAATAGCACTGCACCCCAGGGAACAATTTCCTCTTTGGCTTGCTGCTCTGGCTATGAACAGTAAGTAGTAGGCCATCTCTGTGTGGAGTTTCTGACAGCATCCTAAAAGCACTTGAAAATAAAATAATAAGTCTTTTTGCTTAACTTTTAGTCATAATTTAATTTAAAACATTGATTCTTGTTTTGTAACTTTTACTAAGATTTTACAGATTCATGATTCTCACTACTACAACATCCTGTGTGGAAATTTTGTGGAGCAAAGAGGACATTAGTATTTCCTCTTTATGTCTGGAGAGTGGAGTATGGGAGAGGAGGATAGAATATAGAAATAAATGCATGGTTGATATTTTAGGTTTATGTGTCATCAGGAAAAGTCATTTCATTTAACTCTCGGGCAAAAACATACTAATTCATTTCGATACATGGAAGGTTGAGGTTTAGGACATTGATGGAATTATCATGTCACATAATGAGTCGTTAGCAAATTACAAATATGGTTATCCATAGCCCCAAGTTTAAGCAATGTATGCTTAAGGACATGTAATGTGAATTGTGTTTGAATCTAGTTACTTTCTAGAATGCCCAGTGTACATTTATCAAAACACTAAATGTATGGAGCATGCGAACTGCAGAAGGTTTAAAGTAGTTGCCATCAATGAAGGCAGAAAGACAGGGAATAAGAAGAAATAGTGGGACATGTCCATTATCATGAGCCTTTCTTTTGTTCGACTCACTTCATTCTGAAGTCTTCGGCAGCCAGTCTTGCATTGTCAATCTGCAAGATGAGCTGAGCGTTTCCGATGCTGGCAGAAATGATCTGGCAAAATAGGGGAAGACACACAAAATGAGGCCCTAAAATATCGATCAGTATTAAATATAATTTTGAAAGGAAAACTTTAGATGATGTTAAAATGTTACGATAGTAAGAGTTTAAGGCAGTTTAATTTTTTTTTAAAGAAAATGTATTCATAGAATATTTAAAAAATAGGAAACATTTCCTACAGAAATGGTAATGATAAAATGAAATTAAATATCTTGAGATGAGAAATTGCTCCAAATGTAGATGAGCTGAAAAAATATCTAAGTTTTAGGTGATTATCACTGTAAAACATTGTGATAGCAAAAAAGAAAAATAAAAAATAATTCTCAGAGCCCCTCCAAAAATCATATTCTTACCTTATTCTTGAGATCTTCAATCAAGGGATAATATTTACTATAATCACTCTGTGACCCGGGGTCTTCGGTCCCAGATCCTCGTGTTTCGTACCATTCTCGAATTTTGTTTTCCAGCTCAGTATTTGCCTCTTCTAGAGCTCGAACCTTATCCAAGTAGGAAGCCAATCTGTCATTGAGATTTTGCATGGTTTCCTTTTCTGATCCGTAAAGAAGGCTTCCATCACTGCCAGAGAGAACACCTGGAGAGCCACCTCCTAGGCTTCCCCCGAATCCAATCCCCAGGCCTCCAAAGCCACCTCCCAGGGCTCCCCCATAAGCAGCACCCAGTCCTCCTGCAAAGAAACTTCCAGAGCCACCACTTAAGCCAGAACCAGAACCAAACATGGAAGCACCAGAAAATCCTCCCCCATAGCTGCCTCCAAAGCCAAGGATACTTCCCCCATAGCCACTTGCAGCGCTGGAAGCAGACATGCCCCTGGCTCTGCCCAGTGCCCCACTCTGAGAAGATGACCGCCTGGACACCCCAGAGGTCTGCACTGAGAGTGACATGGTGATGCTAGAGAGATGTACAGCCTGGGGAAGGTGGCCACAACCTGAGAGGAAGCAGTGTCAGCAAGGCAGAAAGGTTAGCCTTTTATAGGTCACGAAATGGGTGGTGCAGTTGAAAAATTCACTCTCCCCATTCAAAATATAGTGTTCCTCTTTTTTTGACCAGCTCAACAAGTAAGTGGTTAATGCATATTGAAAATTCATTGGTACAGAAATAATTGAATAATTGTGCCCATGACATGTTTGTCATACAAAAAAGAAATCTGGGTGGAGTAGAGATAGGTTGTCATAAGGAATTTTTCTTCTCCGAATTATTCTACTGCCTGTATTCTCAGCACTGCCTATTATTTTATACACGGTAGGAAAGCAATGAGTGATTCTGGAATGGATAAATTAATGAATACTTTCTCAACCGTAGCTTTTTAAAGTTCTTCACTTATCTTTCCTATTTGTTTCCTTTAGAAAACTCAGTGTAAACCAACCACTAATGATCTATTTTCTAGTGAAATATAGTTTCAGAAGCAGTTGTGAAGTGGACTCGTGGAAGGGAGCGAATACACGCATTTTCCAGATTGATCCTGGAATTTGAATTTTCAAGGATTTGAAAAATTTGTCATTAGGTTGTTGCATAATTTCTTTTTTCTGACTCAGAAAGGAGACCTCTTAAACATTGAAAAATGCTGTTTTTGAGTAGAATATTATAATATTTTCAGCAGATCTTTCTTTATGTAAGAATTGACCTTCTTAGTAAATGCCACGAAGTCAGGAGCCTTGTCTGATTGTTCACTGCTCTACCCCCTGCATTGCTAGTTTCTCAAAATACAATTGATTTTTTTGTATATTGAAATTATATCAGTGCTTGCACCTTTGACCCAGCTCCCCAAATATCTAGATATTATCTTTCCTGAGTCCAGCCTCCGTGAAAGTGAGGTTCTTCGATCCTGTGAACAGTCCTAAGCCAGAGCCGGTAGTGCCCACTGGTGATCTGGGACAAATGCAGAGAAGGTTACAGCAAAGCTCATGTCGAACCGCTATGGGGGACACCCACTATCAATTCTGAAAAATGGAAGGACTGTGTGACCCCCCACCCTCACCTTTTTGTATTACTTTCCCAGGGGCAGGAATGATGAATTCATTCTTGAAATCCAATTACAACTCCCTTTTACCTTATCATAGAAGGGACATATTTTCCCCCAACCTATACACATCACAAAGAGCAAGCAAGTGTGATTTCCAAAAAAAAAAAGGTTTTAATCAAGAGATTGGCAGAAATTGCATATTCTCATTCACAATAGATCCAGAAAGGATGCAGCAATGTCATGCACTCTGCCTGACGAGAGAGGCCATATCCATTTGTCTCATTTCTTGAGAGAATGAAAACCTGTTACATGGAAATACCAGGGGCTTCAGCCTCATATGGAATTTTTACCAAGATGCCTTTAAAGCGTTTTGGCTGGGCTTGTTGTCTTTGTTTGATTTGTTAATTATTATTTTGTACTAACTGTCCTAGACACTGGGCCATGTGAGCTATTGACATTTTTAACCTTGGCGACAACCTCTTAAGGTGGATACTTTTACCTCATTTTACAGATAAGCGCGATCTGAGGGTCAGAATGTTAAGTGACTTATTCAAGGCCACATAGCCAGGGGATGGCAAAGATAGGATTGGGGTTTGTGGTGCCTTCTGTGGATGACACAACCCTGCTGCTTACAGTGAAAACATAAAGAAGAGAGGGTCACTCTGACTCCATTTGTGAACTGTTTCTGCCCTGTACATCAACCAGGAGCCTTAGCTCTCTCCTTTTCAAAAGAGCTTTCTCCTTGAATTTCATTTCTCAGTGTACAGGCTCATATCCAGAGATCAATGCTTCATGGTTTATAGGAAATGATACCACACACGAAATTCTCCAAACACAGAGGCAAGTGTGTTTTCAGTTATACTTATGGCATGTAACCGCATCTCCAGAGATCTTATAAAGTACTAGTTAAACTTGTACTTCTCACACAGGAACTTGACACTGTGGTTGTTACTTATTAGTTACTCACTGTCTGCACCCTCCAAGACAGAGTGATTCCATTTTATTGCCATAGAAATGAAAACAGGCTGTCGCTTGCTTTATAGAGTCAGAGGAAATGTGCCATATTCAGAATTGTAACTTAGTGATATGATCACATGAGATGGAAATATGATTAACTTGAATTTTTGAAGTTGGAACCAATTTTGTGCCAAAAGGTATATTTGCCAACTCTAATGTATATATGTAAATTTTAAATAATTTCACTCAATATCTATACATTGTTTATGTATTATACCTTTATGTTTCTATACATATTATATATTATTCTAGTTTCTAAGTTTCTCAGGTAGGGACTATGTCTAATTCATTTTTTTATCTTGAGTCTTAGCCTAGTATTTGGCTAAACTTCATCCTTGCACTCCTGAAGTTATTTCACTTAATAACTTAATCCTTAACATGCTTGAATATGTCATATAAAATTCACTTCATTTGAAAATGACTTTGCTCTAATTTACTGGTATGCGCTAAGATTTATTCTGAATCTAATTATGAATGGGGAGCAACTTCAGAAGTTGAAAAGAAATATTTCTCCTTTTGTGGTTTTTTTTGTGGGGTGGGGAAGGGAGGGCTTAGTTAAATAATCAAGCCTCTATTTTAGAGTTTTTACAAGTGAAAATAATTTTCTTTGACAGCTGTAAAAATGTAGGAAGGTGGGAATGTATAAATATTGGGCTTGTTGGCAAAGTGATTATTGACGTTGAGGCACAGAGGAAAATGACCAGAACCAGGGTGAACCTTTCAAAAGAATTGTGTCTTCTATTTTTATAGCGTTTAGGGAATACTCAAAATGGAGATAATTATTTACGTGGTATTTGTAAATCTTTAGATTTTATTAAGTAAAATGTGTGCTCATCGTCTCATGTCAGATTGATTAGTTTTCTGATCTTTGTGGGATTTTCTAGGCGTTCAAGACAGACAGACCTTCTGCTTTCTGCAATTCACTGATCCCTTGGTTGATAACACTTTTAGCTTTTGCTTTGAATAACATTTCAAGATCCTGTGAGTGGGTGAAAGAATATTGGTTGTTGACATTTCATGCTGTGCTTTTGAGATGAGGATGAATAAGGCCCCCAGGGATCATGCTTGCAGACGAGTTCTGGGCTTCAGAGTTCAGTGGTTCTCAAACGCAGGGGAGGATTGATTGTACGTGTTGAGAGAAAGAGAAAGATAAAATAATATGCTGGTAAGGAGAATCTTCGAAGTGAGTCTAGAGGAGAGAAAACAGGTGTTTGAAGGGAAATTGAAAAATAGAAATCACTGCCTAATTTTAAGTTGGAAATGGTATTTGAGGGTGTAATCAGGTACATGAGATTACCCTCCAGTGAGTAAGGGTGAGAGCAGAGGATGTCCACCACACGGTCGAGGTTTGATTTGATATCATTCCGTGTCATTCTTCTTTTTAGATGTTAAGGCTCTGTGTGGATGTAATTCCCAAAGCCCAGAAAAAGTAGTTCTGTCCATCCTAACGTCACCTCTAGGACTTCTCTCTGAGTGTGATAACTCCACTATTGCACTGACGATTTCATATAAAGTCAAGAAATATATCGATTATGGTTCTAATATGTGAGAAAGTGACCTACATCTAAGTACTACGGATCTTCCATGGACCTCTGGGCCTGTCAGAAATAGGATCGTACTGTTCTTTTTCTTAGCTCATATAAGAAGTATAGATACATACAGAGACTAACGCTTCACTTTCCCACAGTAACTACTAGCAGAACCGAAGGTAGAATCATCTGGTTCCACATGTATGCGTGGTCTCACCTACTTTCATTGAAATATTACTCGGAAGAAACTAGAGATAGACCAAAAGGCAAGAATTAACCTTTATTTTTATGACAAGAAATTGAGTTAAAAATAATTCTACCTCTTTTAAGAAAATATTATTATTGCCATATGGCAGTGTTCCTGCCTAGTGAATTTCAAACCCATCTTCTAAAGGTTTTTTTTTTGTTTGTTTTTTGTTGTTGTTTTTTAAACCAGACTCGCAGTCTCTGATATTTGCATGTCAGAGTTTCAGGCTGTTCTGGAATGTGTCTTGGTAGGTGAAAAAGAATTCACTTCTAAAAGTTCTTAACATCTTTTAAAAGCAATTTACCAGGTAGAGTGATTTGGAAGGAAATTAAGAAAAAAAAAAATGAGACTGAAACCTCTTCACTTCTTTGGAAAGCAGAGGAATGAGAGTGAGTGAAAAGAACTTTTTTTTTTTTTTCTGACAGTAGTCTCACTGAGTCAAGTCTTGTGTGTCAATGTTAGCTGGATATTTGACAGTTGGGTGTTGTGTCTGGCTAGTGAAAATGACAATTAGAAAACAAAACCACTAAGGATAGCCACATGCTCACTTCAAGTATGACTCAGTTGTCATGTAATTATTTACTTAAAAGTGTATCATGACTTCAGACAAACAGCCCTGAGGTTCAGTCTTATTTGGTAACTGACTTTGCGAAAATACTACTTTGTGTCTTCATATATAATTCTCATTTGTCCTCATATGTAAAATGGGGTTAGTAAAATAAGGTCAAGCCATAGGAAATTGCTATTTTTGAAGGTCAAAAATGATCACATATTGGCAAGTTCATATGATTCAACCTAATAGCTTCTACCTCATAGTGTTATTGTGAAGATTAAATGAGCAATGCATATGAAAGGCCTGGAATACTGTTTAGTTCATAGTAAGTGCTCAATAAAAAGTAGACATTATTATTCTTAAGTGAACCACATTATTATTTTTAATATAGTAATCACACTGGAAATCCTATTTATTTACAAACTTAAAAATAAAAAATTTAAATCCAAGCTATTTATTTACTAGAATACAATGATAGAGGGCAAATTTATTTTTTCTGTAAACATTTGCAAGGCAGTTATTGATCACTAAAATGCAAAAAGGGTAAAAATACGATATGCGTTCTTTTGAATTGGCTTCTTTTACTTAGCATAATGTTTTCAAGGTTCATCCATATTGTAGCATGTGTCAGTACTTCACTCTTTTATTGTCAGATAATATTCTATTGTATGAATATAGCATATTTTGTTTATCCATTCGTTAGTTAATGGACATTTGTTTCCACTTTTGGGCTATTATGAATAATGCTTCTATAAACATTGTGTACAAAAGAACACATTGCATGATTCCATTTATATGAAATGTCCAGACAAGGCAAATCCATAGAAGAAGTGGATTATTGGTTGTCAGGGGCTAGGAGGACCAGGAATGGGGGTGACTGCTAATGGGTTTCTTTCTGGGGTGATGAACATGCTTTAAAATTAGATAGTGGGGATGGTCGCACAATCCTGTGAACATAAGAAAGACCACTGAATTGTACACTTTACAAAGATGAATTTTATGGTATGTGAATTATATATCTCATTAAAGCTTTTATAAAAATAGTGAGAAACATTTCATAATATATGTTCACATAAAGAGAACACGATGATTTATGCAGTTTTTTATTATAAGGGGAAACATTCTGCTTTGAGGAGCATTTAACTAATCTTGCTTTTAATTTACTCTCATTTCAGGCATAATGTGCTTCATTCTTATTCTGCTCAGCATTTATGATTGGAATTTGACTCTCAAATTTTCCAAAGAGTTGAGTTGAGTTTTAAAAGGCAGTGGAGACAATGGAAAACAGCAGATATAATTTGAGGCTGGCAGAATTGTATTGATATTGAAAATTCTATGAAATTAACCAAGGAATTAGCTCAATCAAGAATCCACAGGCCCCTGAAAGGAAATTTTGCAATTCAGAAACAGAAAAAATTAGAGAGGTTTATTTATATACACTCTCTGCTCTGTGAGGTTTAGTATAATTGAAATGTACTGTAATTTTCAGGGACATTAATGAATTGATATTAGGTGTTCTGTAGCTTGTAATTAATGTGTTTTGTGGTAAAGTGACAGTAATGATGTTTTAAATATCCTAATGCTCACTGGATTTCATTTTTGCAGGCAGTTTGCAGCTCCTTTGATTAAAACATTTATATTTAATTACAGACTGATAAATGGGATTTTTTTTCCCCCTCTTCTCATCACTGGAAAGCATTCATGGTGCTTTCTGATGGCTGCTTTCTTGTAAGACACAAAAATTTTAGCTACATTTTTTTCCAAAACCTCAGCAGCATCTCCTTCTGGCAGGTGTTTACACAGATTCCATGTCTTTGATTTCAGATGTCACAACCTTGCCGTCCACTACTTCTTGCATGACTGTCTTAATCTTCCTGGTTTTCTTTATCTCTGAATTTAGATTTAAATATTAATTTAGATACATGACTCTACTGGTTTATAATATTCAACTTTTAATTATTATTATTTTATACGTATTTCCTTCCTTTAGGAAAAAATCTAACCCATTCTCTTTCTTAAATGATCTTAAGTCCATTTTATAAATAAATACAGAAAATGTGCCACTCTCCCCAAATTTACAAATTTTCTACTCTCCCCACCCTCAAAGAGAAATATACAGTATTGAATCAAGCAAAATGCACATTTTCATTTTATTTTTAATTTTCAGGATCTTAGGACATCTCAGGACAATAATAGCATGGGGCCATAAAAATCACCCTGTCATGGGGAGTGTGACAAATTTCCCATACGGAGGGTTTCTTTATGCAATGTGATTTTCAGAATGGCTAGAGTAATATCTGCTTTCTTGAGAATTGATCTCTCTTTACTTTTCACCAGTGGCAGGTAATAAGTGGTACGCTATTGAGTGAGAATTCAGTCTTATAAGAAATGTGTGAAAATTAGAACACTTACCTCTGTCCTCCAAGATGCTTATCTGATATTCTGTAGTGCTGTTTTTTTTTTTTTTTAAGAGACGAAAAAGGAACAGGAAAAAGTGTTATTGCCATTTTGAGAATGAAGCACTGTCTTCTTTTTTTGTTTCAAAATAAAGTCCGAGTGATGTGTGTTTTAATCCTGTGTTTGTATATTTTCCCCTTTTACTATGCTTGTATATTCTAACTTGAGTGCCTTCCTTTTTATCTCGAAAGATACATAGCTTCAAAACTGACTCAGTTAACATATATGCTAGAAGTTTCTCTAATTAAAATAACAAAACTACAATGGAAGTTGAAGTTTTATGTTCTTTTGTTGGCTTTCTTTGCCATGGTATCTCAGGACAGTTGCTGCTGCAACACCGATGACCTCTGTGACCTGTTGTTCAATTTATGATCTCTCAGTAAGAATTTTTAAAAGTTATTATGTTGTCAATTAAATATTAATCATAAAAATCAACATTAGATAATCTGAATCATCTGTATAATCATCTTCTAACTCTGTCCTTTGATTCAATGTCAAGTACAAAGGCTGTACTTAGTATTTTGGGGTGTGTGTACTTTTAGGTATATTTTTGTTTTGTTGTTGGGGTGTGTGTGTAATTGTTTTTGTGCGAGGGATTGCATTGGTGCTGGGGAATGGGTGACGGGGTTTAATGTGCGGATATTGAAATAGCACAGCATGTAGACATCGACTGACACGCAGTCCTTGGTTCTAAGAGCCTTACCTCATACCTTCTCCTTCCAGAAAGCGACGGTAAGTAGCAATTTCCTGCTCAAGCTGGGTCTTTATGTCAAGCAGAGCATCGAATTCTTTGTTCTGGTGTTCTGCATCAGTCCGTACCTGCATCATTTGGGCCTTTAGAGTGTTTAGCAGTTCCTGGACGGCGGCCAGCTGTCTATGATAACGGGCTTTGGTATCCTGCAGTGTATGCTCCAAAGAGTCTTTCTATGAGCAAAAGAAAAAATGGACATTTCTTACTTGAGGACTTCATTTAAAAGATGGCTCATTTTTAATTTCTTCTGAGTGGAATTTCTGCAGCAAGTTATTGTGGACATCATGCATATTTTTAGCTTTATCTCCCATTCTTTACCGCTAACAAGGATCACTAGCTCTTGGGGTTTTTCTGTTTGTTTTTAGCTTTGCACTCACTGTTCTCTTATTGTCGTATATTGTATTATTATTCTCAATATTTGCTTCCCCTCCCTGCGATTGTGGTGCCCCTCCATGTAGAGGATTAGACTTCCTCATCCTATTGAAGCCAAGCTTGGTCATATGACTTTCTTTGGCTAATGAAAATACAATTGCAACTGACAAATGCCTTTTCTGAGGAGGAGCTTTAAGAATGATCCTAGGGACCGATCAATGCTCCTTTCTTCGTGCCCAACACTGGCGTGCCCCAGCTAGAGTCTACTCTGTCAGCTGTACCCCAGAGCGGAAATACCATGGAGCAGAGCTACAGCCAGCCCGTGATGGATGGTGTTGCAGTAAGCCACTGTGATTTTCAGGGTTGTTATCATGGCGTAAGTTATCATGAGCTGACTGATTTGCTCAGCCTAGACTGTCTTTACTTTTGTTCTCCAGCTTAAAAATTCATCTCAAGATTTTAGATCTAGTTTAAATGCCACTTCCCTGGTGAAATCTTCCAGATTTACTTTTTCCTCTGCATCCTTCCAGTACATTGCCCTTTTCCTTGATTTCTTCTGTCTTTTTATTATAATCAGTGTTTAGCCTGTCTCCCTGCCAGCTCTTATGGGTCTTTGCATTTCCGGAGTTCCTAACATGGGCATTTAATGAGCATATACTATGCTGAGAGCTGGAAGTTAGGTGTACTTTACCATGCTGAGATGGGACTTGAGGTTTAAGCTCAAGTTCTGGTAGGTGCGGCTCAGCTTCTTTAGTTGGATCTCAATGTCTTTTAAATCTGCAACGTTCACTGTGACTTGTTACTGCAGAGTTTCAGTCTAAAATTTCCAAAAAGCAATTTTAGCTACATGGGCAGGGAGAAATGAGAAGAGAAGAGAGAAGAGAGAAGAGAGAAGAGAAGAAAGAGTAGAAAGTTTTCTCTTTTTGGAGGACAACTTCTACTTTTGTTTATCCTTTAGAATTGTACTGTTACCTGTATTTTAAACTGTTCTTTGGCCTTCTGAAGGTTCTCCTGGGCCAACGCTTCATATCTCTGCCTAATTTCATCTATGATGGCACTGAGACTCTGGCCTGGAACAGCATTCAGCTGAACATTGACAGTGTTGCCCAGCTGTTTGCATAGGCCATCTACTTCCTGTGAGAGTGAAAATTCTGATTGATTATTGCTTGAAGCATATTCTCAAAAGAGACTGGGCAGAAAAGACAACAAATCATATAGCTTCTTTCAATGGGAATGAATAAAAAAAGAAAGAACATAATAACTTAGGTAGGGCTTTTTATGGTCCAGGTATTGCTCTAAGTTATTTAACTCCAACAGAAACCTTATGAAAAGAAGTTAGGGCCAATAACATCATTATTGCTATCTTCACCATCATCACCACCACCAAATCTTCCTTCTCTTCTTTCTCGCCCTTCTCATTATTATTATAGCCATTCCATCATTCCCAATACCAGTACTTCTGAATTATTTTCTTACCTCCTGATGTTCTTTTTTGAGGATAACCAGTTCTTTATTCAGTTGTTCAATTTGAATCTCCAAGTCTGTTTTATATAGGGTTAGATCATCAAAGACGTTAGACAGCCTTGGAGATCAGCCTCCATGGCCAGGTGCATCCCTCCTTCAGTCTCATACCTGTGAATTAATTATTAAGCAGAGACAATCGAGTTCTGAAGCCTAGAAGAGGTAATCTTAATATAATGAAATAGATTTTTATGTGGTATATGAGATCCATTTCAATACATTATTATGTCCCCCTTTATACATCTCAAAAATGTTCATGGGAACCTAAGAATCAGATAATTTTGCCCTATAAATATAATCTTTGTGATTTGGAGTGACTGGTTAAAACAAAACAATTTAAAATTACTTTAAAAGTTCCTAAATGCTAGGATATATTAATTTTTTTTTGGTAAAATTTGCTTTAATTACTGTGTTAGCAAAGGGTTCTCATTATTGCTATTAAACAATGGGTAGTTTGATTTACTTAATGAATGTATATGATCAATTTATTTTTATTACTTTGTAAACAGATGCATCCAAGTGAATTATCTTAAAAATTCATGCATTCTCCTCTACAATTTTATATACTCCCATTTCTATTAAAGTAGCAAACTTAAAAAAAAAATGATAGTGCAATGGGACACTCAGGTGTTGACTGCAATTAATGAACTTTGTTAAGAGTATGAGCAGTTGAACATGATCTGAACGGCTTTACTCACAGTCCCAGTCTTTGGTCGGTCAGACTGCTTTGTGAAATGCTGGCAAACTAGAAAACATCAAGAGTTACCCCTGGGACTTGCAGGCACTTGAAGGAATATGGATGACTCACTTGCAGAATCACTAAGGTAGACAAATGACTCTCTTTGTATAACAGAAAGGCGCTTAGGCTGAAGGGGAGTTTTAAATTGCTTTGTTATCTTTCCAAAGGACAGAGTCAGATGCAGTATGTGAGAAGGTAGATGCCAGATTGCTAAAACAGAACGTTCTAGCAACTAGAGCTAACCAACAAGAACAGTAGTAGTTACTGGAGGTGTTCAGTTACGTACTGGGTGACCAAATCATAAGACCATGGGAGAGAGAAGTCCAGCTCTGAGTGCTGGGCCAGACCAGCTAGTGTCTAACACCCTTTAAACTCTTAAGACTCTGAAAATATTTAGTGGTAGCTCCTTTGCCAACAGTAATATGGAATGCTGAGTATCGTGAGGGATCACTGAAAGAAATTGTTGTATAGGAAGTTCTTCCACGGTGTTAGAGAACCTACTTCAGTCTGAAGTCCTCAGCGGCTAGTTTAGTATTGTTGTCAACTTTCAGGACACGTCGAGCTTTTTCTTGTTGAGCCTCTTTAATCTGGAAAACACACGAGAAAGAATGACGTTTTCAACTGGATAGAAGTCTTAAATGATTGCATTGATCCTCAGGTATAACCACTGTTATGTCAAAGAGGATGTTCATTTCAATAATTTCCGCATGGAAATAGAAAGGGAGAATGATGGTATGGGTATTTAACATAGTAGACTTGTGAAATGCAACTCAAGTCCCAGGGTTTGGTCAACTTTCTTGTGATTTTACAAAAGGAGAATTTAATTCGACTTGAGCCACCAAACCTTACTGAGTGCCTAGCCTTTGATGATGTTCCTGCTTCAAACATTCCTCTTAGCTCCTCTCGCTTGGTGAACTCCTCCTCCCTCTCCTCTGCATCTTAGCTTAGACATCGTTGCTTCAAGCCTTCAGTGATTTCTTCAGAACAGAACTGGCTGAACTGCCTGTGCTTTCATTGCCCTACACAGCCCTCCATGCTAGTGTTTATCCCTCTGTGTGGCATACATATTGCCTTTGTCCATGCCTGTTTTCCCCTAAATGGCATTATGTTCACCATCATATTTCCCAGTGCGTAGCATGGTGCCCAGCACCTAGTTTGTCTACTAAACACTTGCTGATGAAAGGGCACTCGTTATGGGGTAGGAGTGGTGCTATGTACGGGGGCTATCAGGACGGATAGCCTCTGATCTTAAGAAGCCGTTCTCTAATGGGTGACCTCTCTAAGATACAGATGGATCAGAAGTCTGCTAGTAGAAGATGTTATAATAACATGTTTCTTTCAGCAGGTCCCGTGCTGGAGACAGTTTCCTTCCTTCAAATACTGAGTCTGTCCAGCTAGGTGGGAAAAATTGCTGTGCCTGTGTATTTGAGATGATCCAAAGTAGATTCAGAAACACCATCCATGAGACAGGGGAAAATGGTTGGTTGCTTTTGAATGTTTTTAATGGGAACCTGAGGAGAATGACCTGTTGGCAGAAAGGGCAATTTGAATACCTTCGCCTCATGTCCCCATAGTTCTTGAAACTCCAAGGTAACTTCCTTTAGAATCTGAATCAAATCCTACTGTTGTCTAATACAATACAAGAGAAAGAGACTTGCTGATAAATAAGTGGCCTTTGCTCTAAAGCAAAATGAATGTTAAAACAGAAAAGAAAATGATAGGGACACTTTTCTTGTTTAGATAAGAATTTTTAAGTGGTGCAAGTGCTCTGTGTGATATCTGAAATCTTTAACCAGGAGTAAAGTCTTCTTTTATTCTACACAATTGATAAAACAACTCCACCTTTCTTGGATAACATGGGAGCAGTTTCTCATAAGATTGCAATAAATTTGATTTGAGGGCAATAGAAAATTTTATTACTGTAGAAGTGGTTTCTGTTCTGCTTGGTGATGATGATCAGATTATTAAGCAAGACATTTTAAAATCCAGATATCATTAAGACCTAAACTCCTTCCCTCCATTTCCACCCTGAATCACTTTATAATTGAAATCTATGATACAGTATTCCAATACTTGCATTATACAATTTACATAAATGAAAGGAAGAAACTAAATTGACTGGGGTTTCAAAAGTTCGTGGGTACTAGGTCAAACACTAAGAAAGGTTTATTGTCAGTTCAAAAATTTAGCTCTTTTCAGGAAAAAATGTTTAGTATTCACTTAGCCCTGACCTGGTAAACTATGACAAAAATACAGATTATACGACTGGAGGTTAAATTTTCATATTTTATGCATAATTAGATTTAAAAACTTCAAAAAGCATACCTTACAGTTATCCTATTTTGTAGTCAGGTACTCCAGCACTAAGAGTAGATGATAGAATACACCTTTTTTATAGATGTAGCATTTCAGCCTAATTTGCTTTACAGCATCTGTCTAGATCCACCTAACATAGATGTCCTCTTGATATATCCTGCAGCTGAAGAGTGGAGCATCATCCCTCACCTGATTTTTCGGCTCTTTGATTTGTCTATAATATGCACTGTAGTCCCAATTGGTGCTGGGCGCGTCTTTTTCATACCACCGCTTGATCTTTAACTCAAGTTTGGAGTTAAATTGCTCCAGGGTCCGCACTTTTTCTAGGTGGCTTGCTAGGCGGTCATTTAGGTTCTGCATGGTCGTCTTCTCATTGCCAAAAAGCAGGTCACCATTTCCATAGTTCACCCAGTGTCTGGAGTTCGAGATGCGGGTGCCGTGGCCCCCAAATCCCCCATAGACACTGAGTACCACCCTCAGGTGCTGATTGCCCCCCTTCTTATACATGTTGCCACTCACGTTGATTGCAGTGCTCTCTGAGGAGGAACTCAGGCTTCTTTGGAAGCTTCTGTCAGAGAAATCCATTGAGGATTCTAGGAGGAAGCATCTGTAACTTCAGGCAGGGTCTGTTCCTCGGTGGTGGCTGAGCTGACCTTTTATAGAGTTCACAGCAAAGACACTTCTTTGCTGCCATCTCACCTCAGGCTGACACCACAGTTCACCTGGCCTTGCTTTTCTGACCCCCCCACAGCAGTCTGTTTAATTCCATTCCAGAAATTACAGCAGTCTGTTTAATTCCATTCCAGAAATTACCACTAGAGGCATTTCTTAGAGGCTTTTCTCAGGGGTGACTTCTTTTTTAAACAGGGGTAACAAAAGGAAACAGAAGGGATATTCTTTTAGCCCTTGCACCTGCCTTGGCAGATTTATTTCATCCTAATATACACATGAAGAATATTTGCAATCTCCATGAACAATTCAGGTCCCTAAAAAGACAGATGTGAGTACAAAATAGTAAGTCACACTGGCGATAAAGAACAATGTTTAAAAAATTTTAAATTTATCTTTTCCTTTTTAGTGAGAAAACTTAAGTTCTAGTCTCTTGGTAAATTTTAATTATACAATAGTGTTTATCAACTATAGTCACCATGTTTTACATTCAATCCTCAGACATTGCTCATCTTATAGCTGAAATTTTGTACCCTTCTATTGAACTTTTCCTATTTCCTCCAACTCCCAGCCCCTGGCAACCACTTTTCTACTGTTTCTTTCTATGAGTTTGAGCATTCCTCCTCCTCCTCCTTCTTTTAAAGATTCCACATGTAAGTGATACCATACAGTATTTGTCTTTTTTTGTCTTGCTTATTTCACTTGGCTTAATGCCCTCAAGGTCTGTCCATATTGCTGCAAATGGCAGGATTTTCTTCTTCTTTTTTTTTTTTATGGCTGAGTAATATTCTATTATGGACTCTTAGGTTATTTCCTTATCTTGTCTATAGTGAATAGTGCTGCAGTGAACATGAGAGTGCAGATATCTCTTTGAGATAGTGATTTCATTTCCTTTGGATCTCAGAAGTAGGATTGCTGGATCATATAGTACTTCTATTTTTAATTTTTTGAGGAATCTCTATACAGTTTTCCATAGTGGCTATACCAATTTATATTCTCACCAATAGTGCACAAGGGTTTCCTTTCTGCAAATCCTCACCAGCATTTGTCATCTTTTGTCTTTTTGATGATAGCCATTCTAACAGATATGAGGTGATAATCTCATTGTGATTTTAATTTGTATAAGAACAGTGGTTTATATGCATTGATAAATTACTCTTCAGAATCTCTGTTGTATGCTTTTTCTTGGCTATTGAGTTTATTCTTGTTTAGAAATCATTTTATTAGGCTATTAAAATATTTTGTACAAACACAAATCTTGAATATTTAAAACAGGAATGAAACATTTATACACTTAGTGATGTAGTTTGTGGAAGTGAATTTAGGTAAATGGTGGATAGATGATTTTGAAGGATTTTTTTCTCCTCTAATTCTGATGTTCTAAGACTAGATAATTTACTAAAATTTCTTAGTCACTGTTTGGTGTTGGGTCTCGTTCCCTAGAAACTGAAAATAAATAGTATAGAGCTTTGCACATGACCCATACCTGGAGGAGTCTCTCTGCCTATATAAGGTCAGCTCAATACCCACCGTGAGACAGACTCTGCTCCACCTATCCTAAAGCTACGGCTGCTCCCTCCTAGAATCCCCAGTGGATTTCACTGGCAGCAGCTTCCACAGAAGCCTGATTTCCCACCACAGGTCTCCATACTCACAGCTGGAGCAGAGCAATTCCTTGTATAGGAAGGGGGTGTGTGCAGTGCCTTGGGGCTATCCCCAGCCTCCACAGTTGGGCTGGAAGCCACTTCCCGTGTGTCAGCCTCCAGACATATGGTGAGCTATGGGTGTGATCTCACCGGTGGGAATGTTGTAAACACTGTAGAATGGAATGAGATTTGTTCATTTGCTCCCCCTCATTCAATGCCCCCTTGCCCCCAAATTCACACCTCCCCAGAAACACTTAAATTGTTTCCTTAATCAAGTTAAAGGGATTAGAAAAGTTACAAAAAATACTTTATTAATTCTCATCCTGATAATTTAATTAATTGAAGTTTGGATATGATTAAAGCAAGTAAGCAAGCAAGCAAACACAAAAGAAAAAAACCTAAAAAAAGGCATATCTAAAATCTTTGTGTATTCTTTCTGGAGAATTTGGAACTTACCTGTTTTAGTGGCTCATTTTTGTAGTTGTTATGGTTCTTCCACTGAAAACCAATGGCTTTTTCATTTTTGAGGGTTTTTTTTACTAATTTTTTAAAAAATAAGGTAAGATTATATTGTTTATTATAAACAATATGTTTTATAATAATACTTTGTATTAAAATTTGCTTCAGTTACATTCCAAAAGTAAAAATTGCGAGAGAGTTAAATCTACGTCATGCATTTTGTGGTATATGTGTGGATACTTCTTCTTTATCTTTTTATGCATTCATATATTGGCCAGCAGTCACTGAGTGTTCACTACCAATGATTGGACATGTCATAAGCATATCTTACTATTTATTACAGAGCTGTAAATTACTTTGAAAATAGGTGTTATAGCTAAAATCTGCGTGAAGAACTTTTCATAAACACATGAACTGTGTTCTATATCTGCGTGTTCACAAAATTAATGTGTTTTTTGTTATTAGTGGAGGAGAAGGAGATTGTTTGATTAAAGTCACTGGGAAACTGTTCTGTTTAAATTACACACATTTTGCAGTGATTTAATTTCCACTAAGAGTTTCATACACTAACACATATGATCAAGGTGTGTAGAATCTTTATTTGAATAAAGAGGTAGCTTTATAACTAGGAAGGAATATAAGTGCAGTTATTAAACATGATAATTTTTCAAGTTCTTTCCTTTATCACAATTTTTCTTTATGGCTTTACTTTTAAGTGAAAGTGTTAACATTTCATTAGAATAATTAAAATCATTTTTAATATTTTGGAGAAATAACTTTGTCTATGTGTGATTCCACCAATTTTTGGCCAATATTTGTAGGTTTTTGCGATTTCAAATTTAAATTAAATATGATACAGTAGCATTATTTTATGGGGTTCAGCCATCCAATCTACTCATTTATTGGAGTAGAAAAATTCCTATTGCGAAGACTTGTTTATGTAAGGGCAGGATAGTTTAACGGCTCCTATCTCACACTGAGTTTTATGTTTTGATAGATTTTTATATTTTATAACATGACCACCAGAAATCAGGGTACTATTTCACAGCAGTTAATTTTTCTGAATTATACCTGAAGACTAGATACAGATCCTGTTGAGTTGTTCATATACAAGCCATGAATTTATAACCCCTGATATTACAGGCTGTTAGATGACTGCATCTGAAAATAAATATTTATTAGATTCCAGCTTCCTTATAAATAGTAAGAGGTGCATTTTTACCTCTGAGACAGATTCTGCTGAGGGCGTTAATAATTAATGTTAACTATGGCCAGTATTTTGGAGAGTTATCATAAGCGCTGTAGTTTTCAGAGGACTTTAAACTATTTTCCCATTATGAACAAGCTATTGCAGCCCAGATATGATACATATAGAATCTCCAATCTCTTGTGGGGTTGTCTTCCCCAGACATCTCAATTAGGACACATTACTGTCATGGGTTGAGAAGGATGGCATATAGGAACTGTGGGTGTTTGCAGGTGTTGTGGTTCTAGATACCTGACTTAACACAGAGTTAAGTCCAAAAATATTATGGCCTCTGTACTTTAAAAACTGGTGTATTTAGTGAAATAGTTACAAATGAAATGATATGATGTCTTTGGCCTCCAAATAATATGGGAGGGAGAAGGAGGGTGAGAGTATAGATAAAGGAAGTTTGGCCATGAGTTATTTGTTGAAGCTGAGAAATGGGTACATGGGGATTTAGTATACTATTCTAACTACTCTAGTATTTATTTGAAAATTTCTATAATAAAACATTTTAAGATCCTGATGCATTAAACTTACATTGTTGTATTTTACACAGTTAATCTGGCATATTCAGGTTTTGATTTGTATTTATTTGGTAATTCTGCCTTGCTGTGCCTCGATGAGTTGGCAAATTTGTTGTCTCATAGTGACTCGAACATAGTAGGCATTTGATATCCACTTGCCATATGCACGATGAATAAGTGGATGAATAAAAGTGCTGATACCTAGCTTCAAGGAGAGAAGAGGCATTTGTGGGGAGGTTCTTGGTGCCCATCGACTGCTGTTTCTGCTAGTCATGTTAAGAAAGTCACAGCTGCGACCCAGGAAGGAGTTTAATGACATGGAGTCTGGCAGACTGGATACCCCTAATGCCCCTGTCCCGAGTGTTCCTAATGGAAACAACTGAAGTTTATTGTCTATTTCTTCCTTCCTTTCTTTCTTTCTCCCGTTTCTCCTCTCCCCCTCTTCCTTCATCTATGTATGTATTTATCTATTTTTTTCAAACCTATTGCAGACCTATTATGAAAGGAAAGATTCCTCCGAGATCAAAAAGGAAATGAAAACAGGAAACAGGAGAAACGTGAGAAAGCTGTCTTGCATCCCGCGGCTTTCTGCTCAGTCATGGAGATGTTGAGCTTCCCTTACGGTGTCTGTAAGGGCACAGGAGATAACAGTAGCATCTAGGGCCTGCTTAAAGTGGGAATACTATTAGGAAATATCCACATAAACCTAGTATCCTGAAGAATTATGCCTTCAGAGTAAGGGTACATGATAAATAAAGCCACCATGCAGAAAGGTACAGTAAGGAAAATCTTCTATCTCAACCTTGGTGTGTGGTGCAGAGGAAAAACAAATCTTCCCTGAGAATTTATAGTCACAGCTAGCCTGACACAGTTTGTTGTCTGTGTCTACCATGTCTGTGTGTCATCTGAAAACCTTAAGTGGAGAATTTAAAGTGGTCCCAGATCAGAGATGCCTTTAGCCAACCAGTAGCAGGAAGCTCAAATCCTCTCTAAAATAACACAACTTCAACTGAGGCTCAAAGTATCTCTACAGATGAA